CAGCGGTCCGCCGGGTGAGTCCTCCAGCTGGGCCCCTCCCAGCGCCCAGAAAACATTCCACTGTCACTTAACACCGGGCTGCTTTTGTTAAATCTAACTTTGTCTCCTGGAGGTAAAATTTAACTCACCAAGGACTGACTTGGTCAAAAGGAAGAGAAAGGAACCGTGAGCTCCAGTTTTCATACCTAGGGAGCTCACACTTTTGGAAACAAAGCAGCGTCCCCCGTTTTTCCAGAAAGAGCTAAGGAGTGGTGTCGACAGTAGGTGCCAGGGAGGACAGGGAGGGAGAGAGCTGGTGGGTGGGAGCCATCCATGCAGGTGGAGGCCGGAGAAGTCACCCAGATGGCTGGAGCTGTGGGATGCCACATGGAAAAGACGTCTGCAAATGCCTACTGGGCAAAAACCTAAATGAAGAGCAGGAGCAAATTGGTAAAGTCAAACACCATATCTAATTCAACAAACAATTTGTGGTAGGCAGTGAGACAGACATGAGCAGAGCCAGGAGGATGGGCCAGGTACAGAAGGTCACCAGGGCAGAAAGCCTAGGGTGCCTAGCAAAGGACAACTATAGCGTGGGATCTTTTCCCCAGGGTGACCTTTCCTCCCCTAGCATATTGCTGGGCATGCAGTTTGGACCCCTGACCTTTCCTCCCTAGAGATAACATCTAGACCTCAGTAGTATTTCAGCTCCAGGCCTAGTAAAACAGCAAAACCAGACAAGCAACACCTGACCTCAGAACCAGCTGCATTGACTAATGAGTCCCTGCCCTGGCACAGACCAATCAGTAGAGACCCTCACCCGGAAAGGACGAAAGGACGAAAGGACGAAAGGACGAAAGGACTACCAGGAAAGCTGCTGAATATTCTATTGAGATCTTCCCCTGGGACCTCCCCTAAAATCTCCACCCTTAAAGCCTTAGGACAGAGGCCCCAGAGCCACCCCCCCCTTCGCCCCCAGGCCAGTTACCTTTACCTTCCTCACTTCTAAGTCCAAGGTCCTTTCCTTTACTTCTATAACTTGTTTCCTAAGCACATTTCTTTTACAAATTACTTCTAGTACCTCTGTGATTTTCCAAATAAATGTTCTTTTATAGTTTGAGTCTTAACTCTGAATTCTTTCCTAGGTAGACTCAAGTACTGAGGTTGCTGAACCCAGGTGGGGTCTGACCCCACTGGTCTAACAGCTGGTGCTGTACTCACCACTCCCCACAAATTGTTTCATGCATTTTTACAGGCTGTTAGCGGTAGTCTTTTATTAAATGGAATATTATATTATGTATAGTGTCGATATGTAAAATGGATGAAAATAATACATGAAGCTCTCAAAACATTTAGATCTTCATTGTTAGAAAATACTCTTGTCCATGTAAGAAACATCCAAACCTATAGAGAATTTTTATGAGTTTGTTTGAGACAAACTGATGACAATGCCAGGAAGCAAGATCTCAAGTGTTCCAGAGAATGAGTTTTACAGTTTCTTTTAAAAGGATTTTTTTAGAGAGAGGGCCAGAGAAGGGAGAGAAACATTCATGTGAGAGCAACACATCAATGGCCTGCGTTCTGCTCATCCCGATATGGGAACTGAACTGAACCTGGGCTAGTGCCCCAACCAGGAATACCAGGAATAGAACTGGTAACCTTTTGTGTTTTTTGTTTTTTTTTTAATTTTAATTTTATTTTTATCCTCACCCGAGGACATTTTTTCATTTTTTGTTCAGATAGAGTGGGAGGGAGGGAGACAGAGAGAGAAACATGGATGTGAAAGGGACATATCGAGTGGCTGCCACCCACACGACCCAACCAGGGCCAGGGACAAACTGCAACCGAGGTACATGACCTTAGGTACATGTCTCTGGACCGCAGGCCAACGCTCTAACCGCTGAGCAAAACTGTCCAGGGCTGTTTTTAATTTTTTAAATTAATTAATTAATTAATTTTTTTATCCTCACTGGAGGACATTTTTTGTTCAGATAAGGTGGGAGGGAGAGAGAGGAAGAGAGAGAGAAAGAAATATCGATGTGAAAGGTACACATTGAGTGACTGCCACCCACCGACCCAACCAGGGCTGGGGACGAACTGTAACTGAGTTACAAGGTATGTGCCCTTAGTGGGAACCGAACCTGAGTCTCTCTGGACCACAGGCCGATGCTCTAACCGCTGAGCCAAACCGGCCAGGGCTGAACTGGTAACCTTTTGATGCAAAGGATGACTCCCAACCAACTGAGCCACACTGGTCAGGGCTATTTTATACCTTTTATACATTTTTTTTTTTTTAATCCTCACCCGAGGACATTTTTTGTTCAGATAGAGCGGGAGGGAGAGAGAGAGAGAAACATTGACTTGAAAGGGACATATCAAGTGGCTGCCACCCACACGCCCCAACCAGGGCCGGGGACAAACCAAACCCTGGTCTCTCTGGACCTTAGGCCAACACTCTAACGGCTGAGCCAAACTGGCCAGGGCTATCTTTTATACATTTTGATTAGATTACAGGATCCTTAACAAGATTATGTGCAGTCCTGAGAGTGATTTGCTTGAGGGGGTCTGAAAAAGAGGCATTTCAAAAATGTGTTAACCTAAACAACAATGGACAGGGATTGCTTAAGACAAAGATAACCTCTTATTTAGGGAAGTTACTGACCTGACATATGACTATCCACCATGACCTGCCCGGTTAGGAATTTATGATGAGATCACCCTTTGTGGTTACTTTTATGGTCCACACTTATTTGTGACCTTGAGGTACCTTAGTCCAATTACAGAAATTTATAGTTGAGAAAAAGGAGAGACAGAATCACTTGTTACTTGCTCAAATGTCCATTGTAAAATGCAGCAAGTATTTCTACGAGCACTATCTCACATTACTCTGAGTTGCAAACGTGGGATAAAGAAAGGCTTTAACCTCATGGAAACTGAGTTCTGTCTTCTAGAAATACACTGAATATTATTGGAACTGTGCAGCTTTCTTTCAATTCTATTATTTCTTTTTTTAAAAGTATGTTTTTATTGATTTTTTTTTTTTAGAGAGAGAGAAACATTGATGTGAGAGAAATGTCTATCAGCTGCCTCCTGGACGCCCTGTCCTGGGGAATGAACCCCAAACCCGGGCATGTGCCCTGACAGGGAATCTAACTGGGACCTCGTCCATGGGACGAAGCTCAATCCATTGAGCCACACTGGACGGGCCAATTCTATTATTTCTTTTAATCAGATCGTGGGCACTTGTTTTTTATTTATTTACTTTTTTTTGGTATGTGCCCCTAGCGGGAACCAAACCCAGAACTCTCTGGTCCACAGGCCGAGCTCCAACCGCTGAGCCAACCGGCCAGGGGTAATGTGGGCCCTTTTATGATACCTGGAAACTATTTAACATTATAATCATATTTTCTAACACTCTGTTCAAGCATATACTTCATACGAGGACTCTTCTTGTACCTTTGTAAGTGTTATTATTTTTAATCCAGAAACTTTAAAATATTTAACTTATATATCAAACACAACCATTTGTTTGTATATATTCATTCATTCATTCATTCATTCATTCATTCATTCATTCATTCTTTTAGAGACAGAGGAAGGGACAGAGAGACAAAAACATCGATTGGCTGCCTCTTGCATTTCCCCTACTGGGGATTGAGCCCACAACCCAGGCATGTGCCCTGACCAGGAATCGAACTGGGACCTCTCCAGCAGGGCTGCTTTATGTTTTTGTTTTTGGTTTTTTTTTTGGTACGTGCCCCTAGTGGGAACCAAATCCCGGACTCTCTGACGGCAGGCCGATGCTCCAACTGCTGGGCCAAACTGGCCAGGGCTGTTTTATGTTTTTAAAGGAGCTTTACAGCCCTGGCTGGTGTGGCTCAGTTTGGTTGGACGGTGCACCAAAAGTTGCTGGTTCGTTTCCCGGTAAGAGGTGTGCAGGACAAATCGATATTTCTCTTTCTCTCTCTCTCTCCCTTCCTCTCTCTCTAAAAATATTTTAAAAAATAAAAGAGCTTTACCAATATTAACATATTTAATGTACTTAACAATGGTGTGGGGTGGAGACTATTATCCCATTCTTTTTTTAATCCTCACCGGAGGATATTTGTCCATTTATCTTCAGATAGAGTGGGAAAGGGAGAGAGAGAGAGAGAGAGAGAGAGAGAGAGAGAGAGAGAGAGAGAAACATCAATATGAGAGAGATACGTCAATTGGTTGCTTCCTGTATGACCCCACCCAACCAAGGCCAGGGACTGAACCTCAACTGAGGTACATGCCCTTGACTGGAATCAAACCCGTGACTCTTTGGTTTTAGGGCTGATGCTCTAACTGCTGAGCAAAACTGGCCAGGGCTATTATCTTATTCTTCTCCAACGAGGCACTAAAATGTTAAGTAACTTTCCATATGTCACATGCGCATAACCACAAATTTATGCTGTAAATTAGAAAACATTGCTAATGCTCAGAAACGTTTTGAGACAAATAGAAAGCTGGGTGTATCCACCCCCAAGCTTTTTTTTGTGTGTGGGGGGGGGCGGTTGTGCCCTTAGCGGGAAACAAACCTGAGACTCTCTAGTCCGAAGGCCATCCCTGTCGCTTCAGCCGCTGAGCCAAACCAGCCAGGGACACCACCAAACTTTAAAAAAATCTCAATAACCCTGGCTAGTTTGGCTCAGCCGTTAGAGCATCAGCCCTTAGACAGAAGGGTCTCAGGTTTGATTTCAATCAAGGGCACATACCTGGGTTGCAGGTTTGATTTCCTACTCTGTAGGAAGCAACCAATGTGTCTCTTTCACATCAATGTTTCTCTGTCCCCTTTGTCCCCCTCCCTCCCTTCTATCTAAAAATCAGTGGAAAAATATCCTCGGGTGAGGATTAACAACAACAACAGATCTCAATTTATTTCCATACTTAATTATTTGACTTTGATATTTTTCTTTGTTTGATCTCTCAGAAAGAAAGTAGTCTCTGAGTTTTTGCAATATTCCTGGTTTCTCCATAGCCTTTATTATTATTATTTTTTAAGAGTCAGGAGCAATCAGGGTGTTGCAAATTCTGATTACACAGAGACACTAATCACGATTCATGCAAACTCCAATCATCATGTTCTGATCTGCCATACAAAAGGAGAAATGATAAAGATGATCCTACCTGAGATCTCTCTCTAGCCTTTATAGTTGAAGATCAGTTTGGCTGGATATAAAATCTGTAGTTCAAATTTTCATTGCTTTCTGGATAAAGTGTTAACTAATAAAAAATACAAATTTTTTTCCTTTGGTCTTTTTTTTTTGCCTAGATGCCATAATTGTTTTTTTTACTTTTGAGTCCAATAGTTTCAATAGACCATGTCTCTCTATTGACCATTCTAGATCAATTTTTCCAGATATATAGTATATCTTTTTTATTAAAAGTTTTTTTTTGCCTGGCTGGTGTGGCTTAGTGGATCGAGCATTGTCCCATGGACCGAGAGGTCCTGGTTCAATTCCTGGTCAGGGTACATGCCCAGGTTGCAGGCTTGATCCCCGGTAGGAGGCATGCAGGAGGCAGCCGATTGATGTTTCTCTCTCACACTGATGTTTCTATCTCTCTCTTCCTTCCTCTCTCTCTAAAAAAAATCAATAAAAATATTAAAGCCTTGGCCGGTTTGGCTCAGTGGTTAGAGCGTTGGCCTATGGTCCAGAGAGACCCGGGTTCGGTTCCCACTCCCTTCCACTCTATTTAATAATCTGGGGGGAAAAAAGATATCCTCAGGTGAGGATTAATAAAAAAATAAAAAATAAAAGATGGCCTCATATGTTTTGAGTTCATATGGCCTCATATGGCCTCTTCTACTTCCCTCCCTTATTTTTTTAAAAAAATTGATTTTAGAGAGAGGAAGGGAGAGAGACATTGATTAGTTGCTCCACTTATTTATGCATTCATTGGTTGATTCTTTTATATATTCTGACTGGGGATTGAACCCACGACTTTGGCATATTGGGATGATGCCCTAACCAAATGAGCTACACAACCAGGGCCCTCCCTTACTTTTATTTGGACCTTCTTCCTATTTGTCCCTGTCTCTGGGATTTCATTCCCATCAGTGTCTCCTAATTGCAGGGCTTTGTCTTGGAAGGAGCTTCGCTTGTAGTTCTGAGAGTTTATAGGGTCCAGTCTACCCCATTACCATGAGACCTTATTGCAGCTTCAGATGCTGTTACATTCACTTGTGAGCTAGACCCTGCAGCATCCTCTCCTGCCTCCAGTGAGTTGGTACTGGGGCTTCTCTTGCTTTCACTGTTGTCAAAAGCCAAGTTCTTTCCCTCTGCCTCCCTCTGCACACAGTCTGATTCCACACAGTTTTTGTAGCTGATAGGGTTTATTAGCTCCTGTTTGAATTTGTGGATTCAGAGGAATGCCTTGCCACCCATCTATGTGGAAATGTCATCTATGGGTCTTCGGTTTGCTATCCCAGTTGCACTTTGTTGCCTTTGTGGTCTTCACCCTCTCCACTAATTTTGTCATGTATTACTTCCATTGTCATCCAACCCTAAATCTTTTATTATTTATATAAAACTTTTCTTTAAAAAATGTGTTTTGCCCTGGCCAGTTTTGCTCAGTGGTTAGAGCATTGGCCTGTGGTCCGGAGAGACCCAGGTTCGGTTCCCGCTAAGGGCACGTACCTCGGTTGCAGTTTGTCCCCAGCCTTGGTTGGGTCATGTGGGCGGCAACCACTTGATGTATCCCTTTCACATCGATGTTTTTCTCTCTCTCTCTCCCTCCCACTCTATCTGAACAAAAAATGTCCTCAGGTGAGGATAAAAAAAAAAAATGTGTTTTTATTGATTTTAGAGAGAGGAAGGGAGATGGAGAGGGAGAAACATGGATCTGCTGCCTCCTGCACACCCCGTAATGGGGGTGGAGCCTGAAACCCAGGCATGTATCCTGACTGGAAATTGAACCGATGACCTCTTGGTGCATGGGATGACATGCAACCGAGCCACACCAGCCCAGGCTACAAAACTTTTCTTTAGAACCCAAGTAAGCGACATCTCTGGTAGCTGGCAGCAGCTATGTTTGTCTCTTTAAAAAAAAACATTTTTTTTTTGAATCCTCACTTGAGGATACTTTTGTTCCATTTATCTTCAGATAGAGTGGGAGGGGAGAGAGAGAGAAAAAGAGAGTGAGAGAGGGAGAGAGAAGGAACTATCAGTGTGAGAGACACATTGACTGGTTGCCTCCTGAAAGACCCAACCAGGGCTGGGGACCGAACCGCAACTGAGGTACATTCCCTTGACCAGAATCGAACCTGCGACTCTTTGGTCCACGGGCTGACACTCTAACCCCTGAGCTAAACTAGCCAGGGCATGCCAGTCTCTTTTCCCTAGCAGAGAAACTGCTCCAAGCTCTGGCTTCAAGCCCTGAGCCTGACTCTAGACTGGAGTACTTTTTGTCCCCTAAGTGCCTGGCTACCTCCCCTGCATCTCTACTAGGATCCTTGAAGCCTTGAGGCTTCAGTCCTGCTTATGACTTTGTATTTCTATTTAGTTCAGGGTCACGGAGATGATAATATTGTATTTTGAGGTCAGTACTATCATTTTGGTGTTTATTTTTATGTTTTATCTATCTTCGCTATCTATTTAGAGCAGAGGGAGGGCCTAAAGAGTAAACTCACAAAGCTATGTTGCCTCAGAGTATCTCAAAAAACAGTTTTGAATGTATAATGCACAATGAACTGACAAGGCACTGTGAATAAAAAAGGGCTCTCTCACTCTCAGGGAGATTAGAATCTAATGAAAGAAAGTAACCTTTAACACAGCACCATAATACAGATTGAAAACTGCTCTATTGGAAGTGATTAGTAGAGCTATGTGAGCCCATGAGAAGAAGGAAGGACTTGTGAGTGAAGGGACTAGGAAGGCTTCTCAGTAGTAGTGGCTTTGAAATGGATCCTTTGGAGATGTCATGGTGGGAGAGTGAGTGGTGATTTGGGAACACCATCTTTGAAACTGGAGCACATGCTGCTTTGGTGGACTGTGGAGGATGTACTGAAGTAAGAGGCTGGAGGTTAGTGCACATGCTGTGGAGTTCACAATGACTTAGCTCCAAACCCTGCTTCTGCCACTGACTAGAGGTGTGAGTCTGGACAATTCACTTCATCTCTCTGAGACTTTGTTTCAGGATAGCAAGGAAGTATAGTATCCCCTACTTCAGAGTCTTGTGAGTACAACTGGTGGTAATTTTTATGAAGTAATAGTAAACTCTTAAAAAGTGGGAGCCAAAACTGTTATTAGTGAGATAGACTAGTAAGCCAGGATAAGTGGAATAGGGAACCTGAGACAGATAGTTAAAGGGCCAAGCAGTTTACAACCATCTAGTAAATCACAAAATTCTATCTTCCTGAACCAAGGACACTTAAGAGTAAATGATTTACACTTCTCCCCAAGGTAAAACAGAAGGTAAATAGCTTAAAACTTCCATCCAAGCAGTAACCCCTGCTTAGCTTCTGAGAGCGTCGGCCTGCGGTCCAGAGAGACCCAGGTTCGGTTCCCGCTAAGGGTGCGTGCCTCGGTTGCAGTTTGTCCCTGGCCCTGGTTGGTCGTGTGGGTGGCAGCCACTCGATGTGTCCCTTTCACGTAGATATTTCTCTCTTCCTCTCTCTCCCTCCCACTTTATCTGAACAAAAAATGGAAAAATGTCCTTGAATGAGGATAAAAAAGAAACAGATATGAATCCTCAAGACAAATACCCAGGGAGGTCTCCCTCTGGAGCAGGCTTACACCTTTCTTCCATCTCAGAATATGCATCTTTACTTTTCTCCTGAACTCTTAAGTGTCCCCATGAGACTTGCAACTAGGGGAGCCAGGGGAAGCAGCAGTTTGTCCTAGGATAACCCCCTGAACCTGTCTGCAAGGCCCCCTTTAAAAAAAATTTTTTTTTCCTTTATTGATTTTAGAGAGAGAGTAAGTGAGAGGGAGAGAGAGATAGAAACATCAATGAGAGAGGACACTGATTGGCCACCTCCTGCATGTCCCCCATTGGAGATTGGTCCCACAACCTGGGCATGTGTCCTGACTGGGAATTGAACTGGCGACCTCTTGGTGCATGGGTTGACGCTCAACCACTGAGCCACATTGGTCAGACATCCAAGGCCCCCTTTTCTCTGACTTTTCAGTGAGTTACAGCAGCCCTGCCTAGGCTTATTTATTTCCTATAATGTCTCTAGAGAGTCAAAGCAAAGCATCACCTAAGCTCTCTCTTCTTGTTTCTTCTATCCTAGACTTTTCAGTGAGAGTAAAACAGCCCCACCTTGGCTCACTTCTTTCACTGGACTTTTACTTCTCCGTGAGTCCTTGCAGCCCAGTGTGGCTCACTTTTTTCCTAAAATGTTTCTAGAGAGCCAAAGCAGAACACTGCCTAGGCTCTATCCTGTTGTTTCTTCTACCCTAAGCTCCTCTTTTGTTTCACTGTCCCCAACTTTAATACATTCAAAATCACCTGGATCCATATTATGAAATCTTTTCTGCATGAAGTCAAGAACCCACACACTATTGGCTGTCCTAAGGCAGACCTACTCTAGGCATGGCCCCCTCTCCAGTGACATTAGGGTTATGGAGGGCCTTGAATGTCAAGCTATGAACTTTATAAAGCTTAGTTGAGGTACAATTTACATAAGATAACAAATGAAGCACTTTTTAAAAAAAAATCCTCACTGGATGACATTTTTGCATTTATCTTCAGATAGAGCAGGAGGGAGAGAGGGAGGAAGAGAGAAAGAGAAACATCGACGTGAGAGAGACACATTGAGTGGTTGCCACCCACACGACTCCAACTGGGGCCAGGGACAAACTGCAACTGAGGCACGTGCCCCAGTGGAAACTGAACCCAAGACTCTGTGGTCCACAGGTCAACACTGTAACTGCTGAGCCAAACTAGCCAGGGCTTTTGTTTTGCTGTTTTTTAGAGAGAAAGAGGAGCCCTGACCAGTTTGGCTCAGCAGTTAGAGCATCACCCCACAAACCAGGAAGTCACGGGTTTGATTCTGGTCAAAGGCACGTACCTCAGTTGCAATTTGTCCCTGGCCCTGGTTGGGGTCATGCGGGAGGCAGCCACTCAATGTGTCCCTTTCACGTCAATATTTCTCTCTCTCTCTCTCCCCCTCCCACTTTATCTGAATAA